TAATTTTGTATTAAAGAAATGTATGTTTCTTCTTCATTGTATAATGAATCAGCGACAGTGTTGTCATGATTTATAGAACGTGTCAGGAAAACATGCTCTCTAGATCTGTATTTAGGACCCATTGAGAGGGTGGTCAATAGTACAAGGACATTCGTTCTATCAAAATCAACATGTTGTCAATATGCATCTATTACACAGCACCTCTAAATCCTTATTCAATCTCAACTTTCATTTTTAAAATGTATTTAAACCATGGTGGCTTGCTCTAAGTATTAACTCATAGTTTTTCTGGATTCAGTGCATTTATTGTTAATAGAATACAAACGACATGTCAAAATGAAAAAGGTTTTCCAAAGGTTTTTGCTTAACCTCCAAGCAGACAAAATTATTTGTAATGGCCTTAGTTAATGGTATATGCAGTTTGTGCTTTATTCATTTATTGCCCATTGACTTTTGTTCAAGTTGTGCAGTTATATGGTAGATAAGTCAAATGCTGCCCCTTATGTTTTCTGTTATTTCCACTGTCACTTGCTGCTATCATTGATGTATTTGAAATTCTTACAAAAAGAACACAAGATACTGTATACTATTAAACTTAATTAGGATCTTTATTTTATTATTAATTTATCAGAATACAAAATAAAATAATGCATTCTTTAGTAACAATAAAATGTAAACATAAGTACACATATTTAAGATTGTTCATAATAGCAAAACATATATCTTGAGTAAAAGCATATTGTACAAATATAATTTTGGTTTAAAATACAATTTTAGTTTTACTTATTACATTCAAAATAGCTTAGTTTAACATCAAGTATTGATATCCTAACTAATTCTCCAAGTAAATTGAAGGGCACACATTCATACAGATTTGTACATACCGTATTCTCTCCAATAAACGCACAGTGCGTCTACCAAATTCTCCTGGAGGAGATGTCTCAAATGACAAAATCCCCGGGGATTTGTGAAAAAAAATTTGGGCGATAAGAGGGTGTTTCATGATTTTCCTCTTTAAAACTAGACTCACTCCAACTAGATAACATATTATCATACCTCAATGTTTTCCTCATGCATTTATCAATCTGCTGAATGTGTTTCCGTGGGTTAATTGGCATTATAATACCTGAATACGCATCAATATTGATGATAAACATCAACTCCGATTGCTCCGAGCAGGCGCCATTTTGGAAATTGACACCGATACCTGAGTCAAAATCTAAAGGCTTCTTGTATCTGAATGGTCCTCATAGTTGGTGAAAATATGTTTAATATCCATATAATGCTACCTAACATTTATTAAAAGGATTGAATATTTGTTTGTGGGAAAGGGCAGAAGAATATTTATAGATCGGAACTCCCATGATGCACTGCGAGTTTGAGTAATGGCGACGGGCCCGAATTAACGTTCATTGTAGCTTTTAACTCATCACTATAAGGTTATCATGAACGTAGTTATAGCTCATAAGGTTCCTTAGACATGTCTGTAACAGCATTATACTCACAAACGGCTCTATCGATAGCGGTAAGTGAATAATTCAATATTACCCTATTATCGCCCGCTTGAATAAATTATATTTTTTCTTGATTTTTGTTTTTCAAGTTGCCAGTCTTTCTTGGAAAAGTCGGATGTGCGTTTATTGGAGTGTGTGCCTTTATTAGAGATAATACGGTATTACAATAAGGTAACTGAGGCAGACACATAGGTGATTTTTGCCTCAAATTGTTTTATTCTGAATTTTTCCATTTTACAATGCCAAAGCAAGAGAAATATGTACATATGTAAATATGACTGTTGCCATTTAAAAGACTAATGAAAATATTATATTTTATCCCATAGTTGCAAGGATATAGATCGAATATCACATAAAGATATATTTGATATGTGGATCAAGATATCATATTTTAGCAAAAAAATCACAAACCATCGAATATCACTTTTAAACTATCGAATATCACATCTTAAAAAGTGATATTCTATGGTTTGAAAAGTGATATTCGATGGTTTCGATTTTTTTCAAAAAAAATTCTTTTTACATTTTTTAATTATTTTCAAACATATTTTAAAAAATTTTTAACATTTTTCCACAATTTTTTTTCAATTATTTTTTCAAATTTTTTCTCAAATTATATTTTTCAACTTTTTTCGCTGATGATGATTTCCCATGGGATAAACGGACAATCCTATGGTTTTTCAAAAATATCAATTATATATCCACTCATGGATACAAATATCTTCACTCATTCGCTGCGCTCACTAATGAAGATATCAATATCCACTCATGGATATAAATGATATTTTTTTAAAACCATAGGATATTCCTATAATATTTTATTCTATACTAAGTAGTGTTATAAGTAAATAACATGCAGGAATATAATATCCCAGATGGGAGTAGAAATAATCTTAATTTACGTCATTATAAACTCACAATTCAGTCAAACTTATGTCATATTTGGAATCTACATGTAAAATTACATTTAGAAATGTGGTTTTGAAAAGAGTGTATCAACTTTGAAAATTTAATTTTCTTTGAAAATGTGAGTTCTAGGTCGGGGAGATTCCCCATAGACCCCATGTTGTAAAACCACAAAAAGTGAAATATCTTTTCTTGTGTTGGGCAGATAATATTTTCTTTTACTGGACATATTTTAATTTGTATAACTATCGGATACATAAGGGTAATATGAAAAGTGAACCACTAAAACTGATGCATATTCAAGTTTAAGGGAATTTTGTAATACCCTGCCATGTTAATTCCCCCGAATCAGCCACCTGGTGGCGAAACTGGTAACTACCTACTCGGTACTGAGTAATTGATATCTGATATCAACCGCTCATCAGATCTACAAAGTCACAAATTCTAAGAGTAGATATTGAGCCAGGGGACTTGACTATAAACCCTCATGATCTACTAATAGTACAGAATAAATCAGTAATTAAGTGCTCGATTTTTGATACAGGGTATATCCCTCAGTAAATACAATATATCAATCCTCGGTCCATACAGTTCCTCAGGTAGATATATTGTATTTCCCTCAGATATACCCTGTTTCAAAAATCTCCCATTAAATAACCTCTATATATTTTATGGAATTTGAAAATGTTGTGTAATATCCTGCGAAATCTGCCTCTTACATTTACAATATTTTAGATATGAATCAAGAGTTTGCAGTATTTTAGTGGCACTTGATAAACAGAGATCACGGTAGACGTTCGCCATTCGCCAATTGCGAATTTTCGAAAGAGGTGGCGAAAAATATGTAAAGGTATTTCGCAGTTATGGCGAATTAGAGGTGTCACGGTTTCCGGATATTGGACCGAATTTCGGTCCAGATGCTTCGGTTCGGGACATGGGACAGAAAGGGTTAATATCGGTACAAAGATTCCTTCCCTAAAATGCATAAAAACGTGACTGTATAAATAGCGAGGAACACCTCCGATTTCGTTCTGAAAAATTAAATATTTTCACTTACCTCGTACCTAGATTACACTTCTTTGCATTGAAAAGTGTTATTAACGGACCCGCGATTTCAGGTAGATGGTAATGCTTGTTCGTTAATTTCTTCATCGTCGTTCGCAAATCGAGTGCATTATCAGTATGCCGGATGTAGGAAAGAAATTGAAAAATCGAGCCGGCATCTAAGTCGAAAAAGTCGGCAGTTTGGAAGTATTTTGGGACTCCGATATCACAAGGTAAATGAATTGGTGAAATTACACCGTGCAGACTATGTGAAATGCCGATCACATTCGCGGCAGATGCTTTACATTCAATTTTAATTGACGTTTTTTTATTTCTGAATAGGATTTTGAAAAGTGAAACTGAAAGTGAAACTGTCATCATCAGACATTGCATCATTTTTAATGTTCTGTCCCGTCCCGTCCCGAAAGTAACATGTCGAGACCATTTGTACCGTTCCGTACCGTACCGAAATTTTCTTAGACCGTGACACCTCTATTGCGAATTCCCTTTTTTACGGTTTTTCAAAATGGCTAATTCATATTTTAGTTGGCTAAAAATTTTTTGGAAGATTTAGCCACAATGGCTAACAAGTTTTTTCAACTATCGTGATCTCTGTTGATAAATAAGGGTTATGTACTGGGAGGTTTTGGATATGGGGTTTATCCAGAGAGAGATATACATATCTACCTTAAGGACTGTAAGGACCGAAGGTAGATGTGCATATCTCACGAGGGTGCATATATTGGATATATCTTATCAAGTTATCCCCCTAAAACCCTACTGGGAATACAATAACTCCTCATACACATCTGTCAAAGGGAACACCTCCCCAAAGTTCTACTTTTAACACAGTTTCTGGTTTCCACAACAGTAGCCGTTATTTGCATTCGCGAATACAAGCTTAGTTCCACACCTAATTACCAATGATACGAGGAAGTGGTGATGAATGAGATGTATTGAATGAAATGTATTCGTTTTACAAAGTAGTTATCCCCACAGTTCTTCATTGTGCAAAGTACAGTAAAACCTGTCTTAGTGAACACCTATCTTGTGAACACCTTCCCTCGTGGACAACCTTTCTTCACTCTCTGTAGTGAACCTACTTACAGTAAACACATTTTTGTGGCCCAATAGGTGTTTACTGTATACAGGTTTTACTGTAACACAGTTTTTGGTTGTCACACACTACCTTCAATTGATTCACTTCACTCGGCTCGCATGGCAGTGAAGACCGAGCATGCGAAAAGATTATGAGTGGAAATGGGTAATAATATGAAATGTAAACAAACATGAGTAAGTCTAATGTAAAATGCAAACACTAGCACAGTAAACCATATCAACAGATAAAACCAAAATTCAAATCAAGTTTCATTATAATATTTTGATATGATATATGATTGACTCTATTCAATTAAAAACTGACCATTCTCATATTAGGTTACCAGGAATTGGGAATTGTGGTGATCTATGTGTTTCTTTATCAGAAACCACAAAGGGCATTTAAGCACCAGAAATATCAATAAGTTACTGGGAGATATTATGTATTCCCTTTGAACACATATAGGAGATCCTTCCTGTCAACAGCCCTGTGACTTTCCCCTACCAGGATGTTCCCAGTGCTGTCTACTAGTATCCCAGTAGGACCATACAAGTCATGCTGCTGCTTTGTCAGTAGAACCTTAATGAAGTCACCCTTGTGATTGAGCAGCAATACTCTATGGTTGCCAGCATCCACCAGCAGAATATGCTGCTCAGTCACAAAGATACCTCTGGGATCATTCAACTTATCATCCCCCTGACCCTTAAATTTGAATACTTGAGTGCCATCCTTCTTGAGACAATGTAGAGTATTGGTGGTATTTTCAGACACTAATAGATGAAGATTGTATGGATTGATATGAACTCTACCCAACAATTTGAATTCATCATTGGTGATAGTGTGTGTCACTTCACCTGAAGATGTGCACAGGTATACACTGTTAGGATTACACCCAGTTACCACCAGCCCCAGTTGGTGGTTGTAGGCGAGGCCAATTGGACAGTTCACCTGCTGACATATATCTTCCTTATATTGACCATTACTATCAAACAATTTGACACAGTTGTTCTCTCTTGATGACACTATAAATTCCCCAGTTGGGAGACAAACAACATTGACAGGCTTATCTACTTTGAACTTAAATTTGATAGAAAAGTCTTTTCTGTATATCACAATTCCAAGATTCATAATGACCACAGCTATCTCTCCATTTGGAGTGAAACACAAACCCCGACAAGAATTGGGTAATTCAATTTTTTGTTTTAGTGTAAGACTACATTGAGATAGATCTAGGCTTGTAGTGGTTGGGTTTACCTGATTATTTTTGAAACCAAGATCTGATCTTAACTGAGCACATAAAGCCTCAACTTCTGCAATAGATGATTGTGTAACTGATTGCTCTTCTGCCTTTAAGTTCTTCAAAGTGGCTGTTTTCATACTTGCTATTTTTAGGTTACTTTTTGCAATGGTGAAAGACTGAATAGGTAACATATTTTCAAGTTTAGAAGCCAAATGTTCATAATTTTCTTCTTTTAGTGCAGTTACAAAAACATCAAATGCATCGGTGTTACGTGTTTCAAGAATGTCTAAAAATTCCCTACATTTTTTCATAGGTGTAGTCTGTGCTCGTATTTGATCCTGTATAGCTTTAGTAATGACCCCCTCCTGTCTGCATCTTCCCATTATGTGCTCCACATCAAGTCCCTTTTCAATTTCAACCCGGCATGCATGAAGAGTTGCTAAATGTGCCTCAGTCATTGATGTGGAATGTTGTTGAGCCATTGCCACTTTTCCTGTGATAATGATTTAACAAGATAAGATTAATGAAATTTCATATCCATTGATAAAGCATGACACTATATAAGGTATAATAATTAAGTAGGATGAATTAGTACAAATATTTTTTGATGTTCCTATGTCCTTATAATTTATATGATAAAAATGAAGGTTTGTAGTAGTTTTTTTCAAAAGTTAATCAGCTGTCATACAAATATTCAATTTCTAATGAAAACTAAAAATGAAAAAATAAAAGAGACAACTTACGGAACTCTATCTTCTCACAGACACTGCATAGAGAGTGGAGGGAGGGGTGTAACTTGAATGGAGCATCCAGCTGGAAACTTATCTACAATAATACGATATTGTGAACTTTTTGTTTATTGATTAAAAGATTAAATGTGTATATTATGGTGAAGATATGAATGTCTTCGTAGCTGCATAACAAACAATCAAAGTCACACAATTTATATTTATTAATGTACATTTATCAAAATATCTCTTCATTTTGATATTTCTTTTGCATTAGTGATGGAAATAATGTTTTAATTAATTTTGGGAATCGATTGAATTTTTTTATAAATTAGATATGAAAATGCATTTCTACTTACAGCAAGTTGTATAATATCTTTTCACTGATAGGGAGGGTAGGAGCCAAGTTAGAGATAGGAATTTCTGCTGTAGGATGTAGTGTCAGAACTTATTGAATGCCCTCATGAGATATTCTGTCACCTACAATCATATTCTTGCTTTAATATTTGTCCTCAAATTTCAATTTAACAATCATAATCTTTTCAATATTTTGACTCTTAAAAAAGGCTTTGTCTCCATCTAATTGGTCATGTTAGCCTCTCTTTGTTACTTCTATTTAAATGTTTGTGAGTAGGGGGGGGGGGCAGTTGATCATATGGATTAAATCCTGGAATATACCCTGCGTGCAGAGTCTAGTTAAACTACACTCTGCCTAGTAGAGACCATATTACAGTTTAGTAGCCCCGCCCCCACGACGGGTACCGGTGACAGTTTGGGTAAATCACTTTTGACCTACGCGCTGACCTTCCACCAATCAGCGAGCTTGAAGAAACATACGACAAATGCATTCTAATTAAATATGCGCATGTCATTGGTCAATTCCGGGCTCAACGATGACGTCAGAAGGAATGACCATATAAAGAACATTGGTCAAATTTGGCCGATGAACACTGATTGGCGCGGTGAGTTCACAGGTTTATTTTAGTTTGAAAGAGTGAAGATGAAGCTCTCTTTTAAGAAGTGAAGTCAAACGAATGCAAAGGGTGCCTGGAATATGATGTCAGGTGAGAACTCACAACAAATATTCTATGTAATGGCCATATAGAGTTAGATTCATCTAGGAACAAAATACATGTCATAGTAAAACCCTCTGGCAGTCAGTCCCTATCAATACTGCAAATGTTATTTCATGTGTCAGATTGGTGCGTCTAAAAATCCAAAATGGCTGTCTAAATCTGGGAATTGGCATTGATTTTTTTGAGGTTTCTAAATGCAATATGACTACCCAGAAATAAAATCTAAATTGAGATGTGGAAAATGATAATCTTTTGGAAATGCCATATATATTTATTTCGTTAGTGCAGTATGGACTTAAATTTGACATGGTATTTTATGATGACACTCCACCTTGTTCTGAGTCTTCCTGTAGTGTTGTTTTCATTTATGCTTTCAGTTTATAGTCCACAATTTAATTTTAATTCAAAAATACTGTTCATATTTATATACATATTTGATTTATATTTACCTAATCCTCATGAAACCCTTATATAATCATTCAATTTCGGGCTCTGCTAATTTCTTCTTGTTGAAAAGTCCTTGTGGTTTGGCTAAATGGAATATTGTCGTTTTTGCACGTCACTATGCCGCAGTTATCTCAAAAAGTTGAACTTCGTTTCTTGTTTGTTGCACACCACCCAATCAGAATTCAGAATTTTTGATAAAAGTGATATCAAAGATATTTTTAAAGAATTAACCCTACGTTGACCAATCATAGGTATATCTTATGGTCTCAAAGTCAAGCATATTAACCTCGCTATATATAGGGTTAATGTACTTGACATAAGACTATATAGAAAATAATCCAGGGCAACTTCTACATCATGTTATCTGCATGATTTGTGTTGTTCAGTTTTTGAAATCACCTTGAAACTTAAAATGTTATGTTAAATCAAATCACTTGCTTATTGAGTGTGGATCCAATTGTGTTACATAATATTAGTTTCATGGCAAGGTTCACAAATTCAGCAGATAGAGAAAGGGACTTAAAGGGTGGCCAAAAGCCACCAACCCTATTTTCAAAATAGACTTTCATTTTTGTAAGACCCTTTAAAAAAGATAGGCAAGCAGAAATTTTACATGTTATTATGGTGATATATTAAGGAAATATTGATTTCTATATATGATGCCACAATTGATTGGCTATCTTGCTTCAAGACTCCCCTTATCAATTTTCACAACAGGTTGTATCATTGGACATTCCATATTGGTATCACTGGGCAAAATCGGTAATATTGTAGGTTTCTGCACGCCTCTTATTTGCCCCTATAAGAGGTTTTAAACGGGTGTAACCTAATATAATATTAGCCGAATAACAGGAGTAGATACGGGTATCTTATTCGGAAAAAAAAAATATTCTGCTATATCCTGTTATCTTCGGCAAATAATAATATTATACGCCAAATAATAAACCTAGCTCAGCGAATAAAATAAATTATTCTTCAAGAAATGTTCAATCAAAAGCGGATATACGCGGATATTCTTGGCCCAAAGTCTTATGTAAACAGATAAACAAAGTCTAGATCTGCCCTGTGTTTATGATTGGCGCGACGATATAATTGCCTCTGTGTGTATATAACATGACATGTCTCTGCCTAGTACATTCGCATTATTTTTAATTCATATATTTATAAAATTTATTTTCGATTTTTTTTAAAGGAATGTTTGTTTTGCTGAAATTATAGCACAACTGTAGAGGGTTAATGGGGATGAATGAAAGATGCGACGATTTGCAAAACATAAATGTAAAATTGCTCATCGCATAATTAAAATAAAACGATCGAATATCCTTTGGCAATATTCGGGAATCACGGTCTTGCAAAATCAGTTATGCTGGTTGTTCATCCTATTATCCATTTCATATCTGCTTTAAATAGAAAAAATAAAACAAATGTGAATGAAATAAAACGAATGTCTTTTTCGTTAACAATGAGTGAACCAGCATCTATTTCATTTAAAAGCACGATAAACCATGCACTTTCATCAAATTGCCGCGTTCAAAACAAATGGCCTAACAATTAGCAATCACAAGATCAAAATATCTATCTACATATCCCATTCAACCATTCAATCAATCAATCCATTTTAACACATTTTAACTACATGTAGATATTCATAATTTAAATTCTCTTTTTAAAGAAAGGGTGGCCCTGAAAAGGCTGTGGACGATTCGTTACCCAAAGTATAAGATTATGTGTTTAATGAAAGCAAAAGAAATTGCCGAAAATATATTATAAATTTACAGGAATGCAAAATAGAGTTGTTATTGTCTGATGGACAACTTAAATGCCCTAAGGCGCGGTTAATCCATCAAATGACAATGACGTGTCGCAAAAAGGTCGCGCACGCATTGTTACACATTTTCGCTTTTTAACACCACAAAATGTGACGTTTTTTGAGAAAAATGTACATATATTGAAATCCTTTCGTCCTCCACATTTGCCTCTATATCTCAAAATATTTAAGGCGAATAACTCTGATATCGTATATGTATTAGCAATGGGATAGGAGCATCATAAAACACGAATCAATTGATATTTTAGGTGAAATAAATATACGTGTTGCTGTGCTTGAAAATAGGCGAATGGCGTAAATTAGCCCTATTTTAATGAATTTTGAAAACCTTTCGTCCTCCACTTTTCCATATACAACTGAAAACACATACTTTTGCGAACAAAATCAACTATTTATTAATAAACTTGAGTTTAAGAGCAAAATAATCATGTATGATTTATTAAAAATTGATATAGTATTTTTTGTTTAATGTACACCTGAAAAGTTGAAGGTAACAAAAAATGAGCAAAAAAGGTCGCTGTCAACAGATTCTACGAGATTTACGCATTATGAACTCATCTTAGAATATATTCAAACAAATAGTAGTTTTCCTATAGTTATTTCCCTATAGGCTATCGTCTGACTTTTTATTTGAAAGAACGGAAATTTTGAATATACAAATGATCTCATTTCAAATGGCAACAAAGTAAAATCTTGGCACAAGGGCACAAATGAATTGTTTAAAACATTTAAAACAAGGAAAATCATTAACCTTGAGCATTTGAATCTTATAAAAGCGTTTTAAACGGCCTTAAGATTATCCTTTTTCGTTCCCATGATTTGACATCTTTAATCAATTAAATATCTAGAAAAACAATATCAATTGACATTGGACAAAGTCTAACAATTCATGAACAAATCAAACTCAAATTCATTAGAAAACCGGAATCAAATGTTTTAAATTAAATCCAAGTTAAACATGGGTATTTCCAAACATGGGTATTGTCAAACTTATCCCCGATTTAACAATGATGCAAAAAGCCATCCTTTGATCATTAGGCTTATCACAAGATCAGATTATGTGGATTATAAAATTAAAACTCTTAAAGAATAATCCCTTGTCATTGATACTTCTCTTTAAACCAAACTCAATATTTGGAATATACCTCTCTGTATAAAACATATACTTAGGCCCGTAGCCTTAGGGGGGTGAGGGTTGCTCGCACCCATCGTGATTCCTGCTATTTTTGGACCAAAATTGTCACAAGTGAACCCCGCCTGGAATTTTTCAAAAAGTGACCTCCCCCCTTTGCAAATCCTGGCTACGGAATTGTTACTCTTTGGTTTAAAATAAAGGTTATTGTGCTTAGCGCCTGTTTCGAGATTCGCTTGCAAAATTAAACCCTGATTCAATTTAACTGATTCAATTTAATTCATTGCAGAACACCAAACGCTGAAAAAGGACACATCATAAAGTAAAGGAAAACAAAAGTATTATTTTCAAAATGCCAAAACAATCATGTCTTATTTTATTCTATAGCTACATCAATTGAATACATGTTACAGGGGTGTAGCCAGCTTTCATTCAGGGTGGTGCGATTGTCAAAATAAATTCGTTTTTTAGTCGGGGGGACGCGATAGCCATAAACAAGCCAAAATATTAATTTTTATCTTGAATTTTACAAAAATTGATACAAGTTCCTTCAAAATTGAACTAGAAGTTTTAAATAAAAGGCATTAAAAGCTCCTTTCATCTTCCTTCTTTATTGGTTATGGGGGGGGGGCTGCGGGGTGCGATCATTCACCCATCGCACCCCCCCCCTGGCTACAAACTTTACACAATATCAACTGTATTTAAAACTGTATCTTGTAAGTGGCTTATTAAGCATCAGTTCAATCATTTATTCCTTTTTAATTCTACGTCAAACATTCTGTTACGCCAGAATCCCTCTCATCTGCCGTTTGCTTTTGGAAGGATAAAGCCAAAGGGGACGCGGCTATATTACGATATACGTCAAATCTTTATGACATTTCCCTTCACCAGGGCCTACACCAATATTCTTAAC